AACAAAATATGCATGAGATTTTGCTGTACATCTATTTAGGTTTAGTATTCCACACTAATTAATTTGTGCAGTAATTAAATAAGATGCAAATGGCATATGGTGTTTCACAAGTCTTTAGGCAGAGGAAGAATAAAAGTTGAATACTTCATGTTTTTTAATGGAAAAGGTCAAGTAGGTTTTTTCTTTAAAGGACAGAAATGGAGAAAATTTTGCAGAATGTACAGTGAGCATGCCTGTGGATATTGTAAGCTACAGCAGCTGTATCTGCTGAATGTTCTGTATCTAAAATACAAAATTCAGGCTGTACTTTATTTTGCAGATAGTCCAACATTAGAAGATGAAAAAGCATCAGTATTCAAGAGGTACAACTCAGGCAGTCTTCATGGCTGAGCAGTCACATTTGTCACTGAACGTTAGCAGACCCAGTAACAAAACTGAGAGAAAGCTAATCTGCAAACTACAGAAGGTGTGAAAAGTTCCTGCTGTGACATTTTTTTCTTCTCTGCACTAAAGGAATACACACTTCTCGCTATGGGCTATTTGTAGTATACATTTTGGCACCCTGTACCTGCCAAATCCATGTAACAATTGTAAAAATTAGAATTGCAAGAAGTGTGACAGTCTACAGGACAAGTGTGTTGTGCTGATCTATAGTATTCCATTCAGGACATGTGTTCCTATCCCCATATTTTTTTAAAAAAAGATAGGATGTGTGATTCTGTTTATGCCAAGTAACTCTAAATAAAACTGTGTGCTCACCTTATTCTTTTCCCACTCACCTATAATCACACTAGCATGCATCGGTTAGCTAACCCACACACAGCAGCATCCAGTACTGACACACAAAACTGAATGTGCCACTTTGGCATGCCATTAGCAGCATCTAGTACAAGCTGCAGAAAATGAATCTGCCGCTTGTACTTGTACTTGTTGTCTCAAGCCCATTACCTGCTGCACAGGTAACCTGACCTCTGCACCAGGTTCCACAGCCACATGTGTGAGATTCTAAGAATGCAGTGGATCTCAGCAGAGAAAGGATGCTACGTTGGGCACCCAGCAGCAGAGAACTAGATGCCCACATGGACTCTCTAGTCAGTGGGTTGAAATCTTCACATGCTTAGGTAGAGCAAAGAAGCTCTGGGGCTCCAATTTTCTCTATTCATCTTTTTCCCCGACAAAGTAGGTCAGAATTTGAAGAACTTTTTCATTTTAATCTGTTGAAATGCCAGCGAATGCATCTTTCTTATTAATAGTCGGTGTATTTTACTTGTATAATTCTAAAATATTCAGAACTTCCAAAGCTAGATTAATCCCTCTTTTACAGACATATTTTTCCATATCCCCAGGCATGCAGATTCTACATATGGCACGCCACGAAGCTGCCACAACTATGACATGAAATTCACATGTTTGATTTTTACTCTCCAAGAACATGCAATTAATGTGATCTACACTGGGATCATAGAATTCACGTAAATGTGTCCCTCCTTCTATACCCTATTGTGTGGACTGCAATATCTGATATTTAAAGTAGCTACAATACCTCACTAACCCTTGAGATTTCCTATCATTGATGCTGGCAAATGGGATCAGAGCCAAAATCATTCTGTTTGGAATTTAACAGCTGCAGGATTTTTCTAATAAATACAGCCCATGGATGAATGCACCAAGAAAGCCCTCAAACCACACATTTAAATGGTTACTCATCATTTACATGGTAACAGCTGATTCTTTTTGTAACTGGTGGGGGATGATGCTTTTTCTGTGTAAATGGATCCATTGTTTGACTAGGATCAGGAGCAGAGCATTTAGCACCTAGCAGGAGAGTTATTAAAATATAAATAACATGTTGAAGAGAAGAATAGAATTAGATTTTTCTATCAACCTCTTTCTATCAACCTCACAATGCGGTACTTTACAAAATGATTGAGCTGGAAGAGGCAATTAGATCTCCTTGAAGAACAAGGAAGCCTTTCTCACTCCCCCCCTTCTCCAAATGTTAAAGTTGTTTGAAAAAGATAAATGCAAGCTGGTTTTTATTTGAAAATGGAGAATCTTGGACGGTTAAAAGGTCTGGAGAGCTGAGTGAGTTAGGCATCTGGCTGTGGAACCAGAAGTTGGTACTGTAGTTCAATTCTCCACTGTGCCTCTCAGAAGAAAAGCCAGCCTGTGTAGCCTTGGGCAGCTGCATGGCCCAAGAGCATCCATAGAAGAGGCAATGATAAACTACTTCTGAATACTCTATACTTGAAAAGGGTCACCATATGTCAGAATTGATTTGGTGACATGTAATTATTTGCTACTATTAAAAGGCTTTGAAGCTTTACTGCCAGACATTTGATGAAAACAAAGTCTCTCAGTGGCCCTTTGCAGAGAATTACTATTAGAAGAAAGAAAGAGAGACACTGGTAGACCTTCTCCCTTCTCATTTCTTCTATGTATGCTCTAGTGCCACAAAAAAGAGACTGAGGTTTAAACCTCAGTGATTGCCTTAGGGTTACTGTACACCATGATTATTTCTAGTGCAATGAAGATGGGACCGGTACACAAGATGAGGGAAAGAAATGCATTCAACACAGTTAGAGGGGAAGGAGAAGGATGTTCTGGACAAGATTTGAGTTTAGGTGGGAAGAAAAATGGGGAGGCAAAGATAACAGAAATAAGAAGTACATGGGGGGTGGGGGTTAAACAGGCATGTAGGTAGCCTGCCTGAGCATACCCATCTGGTTTTGTAGGGGGAAAAAAGATAAGGAAGACAGAGAAGCCAGAAAATATGGACGGAAGGCATGCATTAAGGTGATCCATACTGCTAGGAAAGAAGAGAAGAAAGGGAAAAGTCAAGTTTTTTTTCTGGATTAGAACTTCCACTGAGAGTATGGCTGAACAAGTTTTCTCCTTTTTTGGAGAAAAAAAGGACAGGAAAAATGGTATGTTTTGCTTTGCACCAAAATTGGAAATCTGCTTCTCTCTTCTCTCTCTCTCTCTCTCTCCCCCCGCCCCCTTTCATAGAAGAAAGCTTTTTAGTTTTGGGAATTTCACTGGGTGAGGAGCATAGCAGGATTTTAATACACTCCCAGGAAAATCAAGTCAGTTTGAGGTTAGAAAGTGCACCCTGGATTTTTATAGAGAGTTCCTTCAGATACTGACATAATGGCTACATTTTCAAGCATCTTTAGTATTCTTTATATTATCAGTGCACTTAACTGAATTTATCATTATATATCCTATCACATTTCTTTATTAGTTTCCTTGAAACTGTTTTATTGCTTTTTAATTTTGGAGAAGAAAACCATTTGCAGCTAGATCCACTTGGATAATCTCCCCCAATGTAATTTCCTATCAATAGTCACTATACCGATTCCCATTTATGTAGAGGTAATTCTCATTGAATGTAATGGCATTTATCTTTGGTTAGAATCACACATGATTGCAATGTAACAGAAACATGTCAAAATATTTTGGGCAAAGAGAACTGATCCTGACACCATGCTCCTTCTTCAGTATATGCATGATTTCCCTTGGTCTCTTGAAAAGCTCTCTTGATGTCTTTCATTTCTTAGGTGGGCAGTTCACCTTCTTCCTTTTCTTTCTAAGATCCTGGACTGTATTATCTAGGTTCCTGCTTCCTTTCTTTTAGCTGAGCGCCTAAAACCTGGGTTCTGCCTGGATGTTCCCAAGGGCTTGTTAAGCTCTATCCAAATCTTTATCATACTCTCATTTTCTGATGCACTCGAATGGTCTGGCCACTCTCTGTTTTCTGCTTTCTCCCCTTCCTTCACATTGTATAAGATCATCCACAAATGGCTTTCTTCAGGGGTTCCCTCTTCATGTTCTTGTTCTAAGCCGGTGGTAGGTATATGATTTGTGCTTCCAGTCTGAACCGGAAATTCTGCACATATTTTCCCTGGAGGGGGCAAGTTTAAAAGAAAAAAAAAAAGGCTTCAGCTTGTACTATCTTCTTTCCAGGAATGCTTTGTGTACAGTTGTGCAACATGTAAGAACACAAACAGTTCCCTTGTTGCATGGACCTTGACAGTGTAGAACTGTTAGACTGTTTGCATCTTTGTGGACAATCAGCTTGCCTGTAAAGCGGGTTTTAGGAAAGGAAAAGACACCTGGGACGTTTTGTATAAAGTGTGCAACCACCATGGGGGTGGAGCGGGGAGCACTCCTGCAGAGGAGGAAAGAACTCTCACGGTGGTCGGAGAACAGTTCTCAGGTTGCTTTGCTGTATCAAGACAGCTTGTCTTGACCCAAATGAAACAAACATTGACAAGATTTTGTCACACTCCTAGCACTCAGAAACTTCAGTCCGTGTTCTCTTTCATTAGTTGTGTGAGATTCTTCTAATCTGCCCAGATTTTGGAAGTGCATAAACCATCTAGGGACAGCCCCAACACTGTTTTATTTGCTGCTGATATTCAATCAGTAGCAATTTCACCCAGTTATCTTTAAACTATTTTGTTTTCCTTTTCCCTCTTCCATGTTTCTTCTCTGCTTTCTGCTATGTCTTCTAAACCAGAAGTTAATTTTATTTTTTAAAAATGGGACATTGTCTACCTTCTAATTGTCTTTTGTTCTAATGCATGGCCCTTCAATTTTTATAGTATTATTTGCTTGCAGGCTTGCAGTTATTTTCATTGCTCTTTTATGTGGCAAAGTAGTTCAGAAATACCCAGATCATTGCTGGATTTGAAGCAAAAAAGTATAATTAGTTTACAATGTTAATTATGCCTGTGCTATAGGAATGTGTGTATAAAGGTTACTGCTTCTCTAGCATGGGCTTACTTTCTTTTTGAAGTTCTAACATGCCATCTGCTATTTTGCTGCTTCTATACACATCTTTGCATTAAAGGGATATTACCACTCATGTCAAGAGGAACTATAAACTTTGAGGGAGCTGATATGCCTCAAACATGTACTAAGAGGGCCAAAGGGATCGCTGGCAACACACTTAGTTCGTTTAATGGGTATGCATGACCTCGTCAGGGGTAACTGACCTTACTTCCGGAGTCTTTGCTTCCACACTCCCCTTTATCGTACCACCATTTGCTTTTCAGCTTGTCTAAGACGCCTTGCTCACTGAGTTTCAAAACCGCTAGGTTTACGGGACCTCTTCAAACCAGGGGGGAAATAACATAAATAACATTACCAATGTTATTTTATGTTATTCATCACAGACAGTTCATTCACAGCATTCATTGTAAAACTCATACATTTACAAAGTGATATGATTGAATACTCCGTCTGGCCAGCCCTCCCCACCCCTCTTGCATTCCATCCATCCCCACCGCTCCCAGCGCATCCACACCCTTCGTTGCTCCAGCAGAGCAAGAGGAGTATTACTATATCACTTTGAGTAACCAGCAACCTTAGCCACCTGCCAGGAGATACTTGCAACGGTCTTGCCAAGGCTGGTGACTGCTGGCCATTCTGATCTTTCTGGCCAGCCAGAAGCCAAACCTTGCACAGTATCTCAGTTCCCCTATCCATGGTCATGCTCAAGAGACCCAACAGAAGCTTTAAGGGTGGAAGGTAGCGAAAGGCAGGGGCGGTGGACATTGTCCTATGGAAGCTTTAGTGCAATGGACGGGAGTGATTTTAAATCCCTTCCGTTGTATGAAGGGTTGCCGCCATGGCCATGCAGGCATCACATCTAATCCCACATATGCCTTTCCCATGTCCTTATGCATTAAGCAGGGTGCATGTTCTCCTCCAGCAACAAGGACCATCCAGTGCTGTTTGGCTCTCTCCCCAAGAGTTTGAACACAAAGCTGTGTTTGGCAGTGCGGTTGCTGGTTACTATCCATGCCATTTATACCCACTAGGTTTTTCTTACTGAGGCTGACCTTGGAGTCACCTCCCCCGCTGCCGCACTCTCCTTTGTCGTACCACCATTTGTTTTTCAATTTGTCCAAAAGCCCCTGCTCGTTCAGTTTTAACACTGCCAGGTTTACTGGGTTTCTTTAAAATGAATAGATAACACTCAATGAGTAACAGGCGGAGAACACTTGGTAAGTCATGTGACAACAAGGGATCGGTGAACCAGCACCCTTTTAGTCTGCTCCAGGAATCTTCCCCAATTAGTTTGTATCCCTTGAAATTAGGAAAAACAGCAACAACCACTGTGGAGGGGGAATCATAACACTCCCTGAAACTGGAGGCCATTTTGTAGTGCAAAAGATCCTACAGGGAACAGAGTGGCAAAGATGGAGTTGCTTTAAGTAATGGCTGCTCATGCTGGGTGCCATCTTCTACAGCGGCTGAATTGGTAGAATGGAACATCTAATCTCCAACCATTGACATAGGGTTGCTTTTGGAAACAATTAAGCACAAGAGCAGTGTAGGGGTTATTTGTCAAGCTGCAGCTGTGGCTCCATAATTTGGCCTTTCCCACATAAATGCGATAAAATCCCACACAGATAATAATTTCAGAATGGGGGAGGGAAGTCTGGCTCGCCTATTCCTCCTGAGTGATCCTCTTGTCACAAAAGACATATAAAAAACAACAGTTAGTAATAGTTTCCCTTGAAGGAACAGAAAGCATTTCTTTTTAAAATATCAGTTTTAACAAGTGCAAAATATTCAAAACAATACACAACTCAAAGAACACTTCACACATTTCACAACATATAACAGAAAGAAACAAAAGAAAGAAAGAAAGAAAGAAAGAAAGAAAGAAAGAAAGAAAGAAAGAAAGAAAGAAAGAAAGAAAGAAAGAAAGGCCTTAATTTGGTTTAAATCCTCAGGATTCCACTGAAGTCGATAGGTCAGAAGCTATGTACTTAATGTGATTATTCCACAGAGTAGAAACAATTTCCAAAGAAGAATGTATGAGAGCTCAAGAGACTTAGTGTTGTGGACCCCATCTCCCCCAAATCCCCCAGCTAGCAGCACCATGCAGGCTAGAAGTAGTAGTAAAAGCATTGTAGTAAAAAAAAACACCACACCAGATATCCCTATGCTTTGTAATTTGCATACTTTTTAGTGCCACAACTAGAGAAGAACAAAAAATGAATCACGGGAAAAAGCCCAACGAACTGGGATGGTTCATTTTTGATTTAATGACTCAGTTCGGGGATTCCATTTTGCCAAAGAAAAACAAAACACTAAACATTTTTCCCTTTGGAGTTTCGTTTGCTTCAGCAAAAGACGTTATCCGCCCATCCCCTTCCCACTGATCCCATCACCTCCACCTGTTTGCTCCCTTCTCTGCCATTACCTTCAATGCTGCAGGGACCATCCTCGGAGGCAGTGGGCCTGGCTTCCCTGCCGGGAGCCTGCCATTGCCTCTGAGCATGTGCCTGCCATGGCAGTGCAGCACAGAGGGGATGGAAGCACAAGAGGCGGTGGCAGGAGCAGGTAGCCCTCCCCAGGCACAAACAAGAGCACTACATTTCCAGTACCCTATGTCAGTGGTCTCCAACCTTTTTGCCTCCATGGTCCGGTTTAGTGTGCGGGTGGAGGGGGTGAGGGGTCCGTACATGTGTGGGAGGGGCTGTGCATGCATGGGAGGGGCATGCATGCATCTGTGTGTGCAGGAGGGGCAGGAGATTTGTCTCCGCAACTCAGTCCATGACATCCAGCTCTACATCTCCTTTTCACCTACTGCAGGTGATGCCGTCCTGTACCTCCAGCGCTGCCTGGGGACTGTACTGGGGTGCATGCAGGAGAATGGGCTGAGGCTGAACCCGGACAAGATGGAAGTTCTGAGGGTGGGAGGCCCCGTGGTTGGCAGCTTGGAAGACTCTCTCACGTTTGGGGGGGCGCGACCTTGGCCGCGAAGAGTGGGGTCCGCAGCTTGGGCATACATCTGGACCCGACGCTCACCATGGAAATGCAGGTGGCGTCGGTAGTCCGTACCACCTCTTTCCACCTCTGGCAGATTGCCTGGCTGTGGCCCTATCTCGACAAGGGGGCACTCACCACCTTGGTGCATGAGCTCGTAATCTCAAGATTAGACCACTGTAACGCGCTGTATGTGGGGCTACCTTTGAAGCTGATGCGGAAACTTCAGGTGGTGCAGAACGCTGCAGCCAGACTCCTTACTGGAGTGAGAAAATACCAA